GGCGGGGCTGCGCTGCGCCTGCGCGGCGGTTCGAACGGGATGGCGGCTGAGGCGGCGGCTGAGGCAGCGGGAGGGTGAGAAGACAGACGGCAAAATGGTGTGTCCGTCCCCTCCTTCCGCTTCTTTTCTCACCTGTTGTCATCTTTTTGTCTCTCTTTGCAGAATGTCGGAGCTGGAGGGAGACACCAGCGGTACGGTGGAGGATGAAGAAGTGTCTAAACCCAAGCGGAGAGGTAGCCGCGGGGTGAGGGGGAGCCCTGCTCCCGCTGAGGCGGGAAGCCCGGCGGGCGGGCCCGGCTGAGGTCTTTTTGCTCCTTCCTCAGGAAAAAGAATCGTGAAGTCTCGCTACCTGCAATACGATAAGAAAAACGCCAAGAAGGTACTTGGCTGCCGGGCTGGGGGGTCGCTCAGCAAAGGGTGGGAATGGTCTGAGGGGTGGCTCGGATGTGTGGCAGCGAGATCTAAGAAAAAAGAAAAAAAAAGGCTCTTCTGAGGTTATGAGGGAGATGTGGACCGGGGTAGGAATTTGGGGCTGTACTGGGGTGACTTGCAAATCACCAAAGACACCCTGGGATTGTAGTTTTTTGCTGTCAGCGTTAAAGTTGGCGGTTAGATACATTGCTGAGCATGGTTATTGCTTGTGTTCAGTCTTTCTGTTTCTTGGTTGTCAGGTTACTTCAAATCTCTTTTCAACGTCTGTTGTGAAATCATCTACTGCAACTAAACCAAAATCAGTTCTTCCTCTGAAATGTAAAGCTTCCGCTGGTAGGTTTTACCAGAAAAATTTAAAAGTTCTTCTTTTGCGAATTTGTATTTCCAACCTGTGGAACTCATAACAAATCTCTTTTCAACGTCTGTTGTGAAATCATCTACTGCAACTAAACCAAAATCAGTTCTTCCTCTGAAATGTAAAGCTTCCGCTGGTAGGTTTTACCAGAAAAATTTAAAAGTTCTTCTTTTGCGAATTTGTATTTCCAACCTGTGGAACTCATAACAACTTTAAAATGAGGTTAAGAGATGGTATTTTATGTTACTTACATCACTGCTATTTATTATCTGTATACAAAGGGAATTGCATGGTTATTGCTTGTGTTCAGTCTTTCTGTTTCTTGGTTGTCAGGTTACTTCAAATCTCTTTTCAACGTCTGTTGTGAAATCGTCTGCTGCGACTAAACCAAGATCAGTTCTTCCTCCGAAATGTAAAGCTTCTAGCTTCCGCTGGTAGGTTTTACCAGAAAAATTTAAAAGTTCTTCTTTTGCGAATTTGTGTTTCCAACCTGTGGAACTCATAACAACTTTAAAATGAGGTTAAGAGATGGTATTTTATGTTACTTACATCACTGCTATTTATTATCTGTATACAAAGGGAATTAAGAAGCTTGATGTGAGATTAAGAGGTGTAAACTGAAGTGCGTTAAACTCTTGGCTGGACATTGTGATAGAAAACTAATTTGGAATACAGTAATTGTCTAAAATAAGCATATGCCTTGCCTTCTGCACAAGGCTTTCAACTACTCTTTTACTATGGCCTCACCATTGCCCTACTTATTTTTATTTAATCTTTTTAATAAGCGCAGTGTAAATGACTGAAACTCCCTGTCTGCAAGCCTTTTCCTTTTCCTTTCCTTAAAAAATGTACTGGTAAGACCTTAATTTGACTTGAAAATCCCGAGGAAATGACATTATTCCCTTTTTGCATCTGAGTGTTGTTGTTGAACTGTGAAATATTTAGGAGGAGAACATTCTGAGCTACCTTATCTTTAGGTAAGTTAGGGAATATACACATGATGCTTAGAAAGTAAATGTGTGAAAATGCACATGATGCTTAGAAAGTAAATGTGTGAAAGTTTGCATAAGATTGCTACATATTAGTGGAAGAGTATATAATTGTGTAGAACCTGTTCTAATTCTTTTAGTTTGATAACAGCTTCTTTCTTCAGGTGTTATCAATAGCTCATTAAATCAGAGTAGGTTTCAGAAAGGCGTCTTGCAGTCCACTTTATTAAATGGAGATAAAACTAATCGACCAGAGTTTGACCTCTCAGCTATTAATGGTAAGCATCTAATCATACTCAATTTCTTGCTTTATTATTTTTAATGTATGTGCTGTAACTTGATGATAAGTTACCTTTGTATCCTATTGTATTCACAGGAGGATGTTGTTAAAGACACTTGAAATAACATTTACCTTATTTAAGCAAAGGTATTGAGACCTTTGGGGTTTAAATTCACCTCTCAATTTTTAGTATCTTTTGAGTGCTCTGTTCTTTTTATTTAAGATAAAATATTGAAGAACAAAGTGCACTCAACTCTTTGTTGCTATAGCAGACAGGTGTTAGATTATCAGCTCTTCTGAAAATTGTACTATATCTGTCTGTAACTGCCACTTATAGCTAAATGCTCATGTCATCCACATCTCATGAGTACCATCAGAGCCAGAAATAGACCTTTGAAGAACCTGATGGTATGTCGACCCACCCCATATACTTTGGTAGAAGAGAGCAATAACTTTTCTGTTTTGATACAGGTAAAACTGTCTGCGAAAAGACTTTTGAGGCAGACTCCGCTTGGGAAGATACAGACACAAGTAAAGAGGGCAAAACAGTGGTGAGTCTCACTGCTTTCATTTTTTAAGCATGTTTATTTTGAAATGTGTGAAACGAAGATTTTCTGTTTATCTTTAATTTTGATAAAAACTTCAAGGTCCTGGGATGATCTAAAGCCTTCTGGCCAAAGTTAGAGGATAAGTCTGGTCAACTGCTAGTGATGTTTGTTTTGTTTATTGGATCTTTCAACACCAATCGAAGTTTTGCTTCCTTTTCTTATGGTAAAGAATCTGCTCCAATTGTAGCATCTCCTCAAGTCAATTCTATTTGTATTCCTGTCCTTATGTCCATATTTTTTAATTATATCTTGTTATCTTTAAATATTTTCTGGAATTTTTTGTTCAGAAAACTAACATTGATTCGACTGAATTTGAAGTGCCTTATTTAGGAATCTCATTCACTGTAGCACTGAAACTTTAAGTTCTCTACCAGTATTGTGAAAATCTGCTGAGAATGTTATAAAAAATGGGGGAACAAAGAGGTATATTTGATTAACATGCATTTTTTAAAAACCCACACTGTTTTCATCAAGGTGACTGTTGTTGATGATGATTCTGGGCACAAACTGGACTTTCAGTAATTTATTTGAACATAGGGAAAAGTAATTGTTCTAATATCAAAATTGATCTAGTATATTATTTTATTTTCTGAAGAGAGAAGACTCTGATGTTCTGGAATTGCTGGAATCTCAGACACTGCTTTTAACTTGCCTAAGAATAAAGGTGAGTGTCAGTCAAGTATTTGGTATTTCAGATAGAAGAACTTGATATTGAGGAATTGTTTAATTTCTCTGCATGGATTCTGATCCGTAAAAGTTTGATTTTTGTCACTTTATATGTTTATGGTTGTAAAACTGTATGACTTGCTTTGAAAACTCCCTTAGAGAGAATTCGGTGCCCATTTATTAAGCTGGTGCTGGTTCCTCCTGGAGTAGGGGTATGCTGAAATTTTGGGAATACCGTGTTTGGAGCTCAAGGTTGTAGCAGTGGCTTAGTTCTTGGTTCACTCACTGCTGTAGATGGGGCTTAAATGTAATGTTCTGTATGTTCTTTAATGTTATTGCATGAGATCTCTGATTCATTAATTGAAGCTCTTTGACCTTGTCCGAGGCTTACATTTGTTTATTCAGAATATATTAATTACTTAGGCGTATTACTTCAGTTGTGAGTATTTTTTGGATGTAATAGGCAGGAAACAATCTTGCTGAGATAGAGGAAAAAGGGGAAAAAGACTTGATAACATTGTGTGAAGAAAAGGAGAGACAACAGGAGAAGCTTTTCAAGTTGAAACGTGAAATTCTACTCAAAGAGAGAGAGCAGAAACTTGATGATGCATTAGACAAACAGGTAAGCTTGATTACAATTTATGCTTCTCCTATATTTAAACAAGCTCACTTATGAAGTAGTCCTTTATTCAGAGAAGTTTCCTCTGCTTCTGTGGCCTGCTGGGGTACAATTTTATGCGTCTTAAACAAAATAAATATCTTTTTCCTGTTGTAATGTTCTCTAGTAACCTAAGCAAATGCCTTTGTTATGGCTGGAGCTGAGATGCTAACCCTTCGATGAGAAGTGAACATCTTCTGTTCTTTCTTTGGCTTATTTTTATATGTTAGACAGCAATAATTCTGGCCTGGTTGTAAGAAGGCAAGTTTCTAAGAAATAATTTTTTAATAATTAATTTTCAAAACTGAACCTATGTTTGCTTTTAACAAATATATGTTGCAAAAATTAAGCAAGACTTTTGTCTGTTGGAGAATACGCTGTTAACTACAGTGAAAGTATCAAATATAACACTTTGCCTGCTGTGTTGCTGATACCTCTGAGCTACAGTAACAAGGAAGCAGGTATTGACCTAGGCATTTTGAGGTGATAGAGGAAAACTTACTAAACAGCATGATAAGGGGTATCATACCACAAATTTATTGAATTCCACTGTCAATGAGCATTTTAGAGTTGTATTTGGGGTTTTTTTATAAATTATTTTTCTGTACTGGGCCGGGTCTGTACTAACAAAATGACTGCTTTTAAAGGAGTGTTGGTTCATCATGTGTCTTTTTTAGATAGAAGTGCTTTCTTCCCTTGTTCCTGTTTGTGAACGGTTTAAAGAGCAATATAAAAGCTTTGCAGTTTCCCTGGATGCCACTAGACATGAATTACCCATAAAGAATATTCACATAGAAGGAGATACGCCGACATTCCTTGGTATGAAAATTTGATTCCTATGCTAAAATTCTTCTTCTTGTTTCTGTGTTTAAGGGTTAAAGTCACCACATTGGGTAGACCTGGTTGTGTTTCCTGTAGCACTAGAGCTTAAAGACCTTGTGTGATGTCTCAAATCAGAGAATGTTTGTTTAGTCAATTAGTACTTGTGTTTTGTATTGCTGATAGATCATAAAGTCACACATCTTGTCCTGTAAACTTCCCCTTCCCTCCTCCAAATTCTAGCCTTTGGGAAGAAAATTCACATCTTGCATTTTTCTTCTGGTGGCTGCATGGTAGGAGAATGATGCAAATGTCCAGGCGCGCGTGGCCTTTGGGGTTAAGCAGAAGTTATTATCCTCCAGAGTAACTGATTTAACGTGTTTCATTTGTTCCAGGAGCTTTAGACAAGTGCAGAACATGGCGTATGAAGCCAGTAAAGAAGTTTCTCTGCATAATCAAAGAATATGCGAAGAGAGTCACGGACTAGATGTTGTGAAACACTGGTACTTCGACTAATTCAACTAAGTTTCTGCATTGTTTTACTGACGGGTGGGTACTAAATCACTGCCAGCAGACTTGTTACCTTTTTACTTCTTGTAGGAACACATATGTTGTCCAAATTTTTAATTATACCAGAACATGAAACCAGCAGCATGTAGCCTTACAAATATAGAAGTAGAGTTTGCTTCTACATGCTGTCTTACAGGAGACATCTTTTTGGTTTTTTAACATGAATTTCTGTGATGCCTTTCTCATCACTTTCTGCCTTGACAGTGCTGAAAGGTGAATGAGAAGAAATTATATTCTTAGCAAATGTGACGTATGTGTTCTTAAACTTCTCTTGGGTTACTTTTGTGGAACTGGCTTCAAGTGCAGTGATTTGCATCGCTTCCCGAAGCGGTGTTCCTTAGAGGGCAACATACAGAATATAGATGGGAACTGTGGATGTCGTGCGGTCTGTTTGCTGATCTCATCAGGAGGATCTGTAGGATCCTGTACAGCATACAGATCCTGTAGGATCATGTACAGCATGATTATTGGTCACTCGGTGAACAGCTTCTAGAGGAGAAGAGCTCTTAGTTGTCCCTTACTTCTGGATTTGCTGAGAGGAAAAGCTACGTGGGTAGCAAGTAATGAGGCTGATGACTGGAAAGGCCCTGGTCACTTGTAACAAGTGAAAAGTTTTGGTAACTTTTTGCCTTGGAAACAAATTAGTAAAATCATAAATGCTTTTGTATTAACCTGACACCTTCTTCTTAAGGACTTTATTATTTAAAAAAAAAAAAAATAAAGACTGCTGCAATAACAATAGTCTTCATGTTTGAATGTCTTTACTGATCTGTTACAGCAGCTTTTGTTTCCATCTGGGTTTACACACAGCGGATGCGGTGACAGACTTGTAGGCGCACTCCAGTCCCAATGGCAAGCCATGACCTACTGGCACCCAAAGGGCTGAGGAAGACTCTGAATGTGGAGAGAAACCTCAGACCTAACTACTAAGTGCCTGAAAGCCTGGTCTTGTCATGAACACACTTGCCAGATATGGCAGGTTTTTTCACCGTTTTTATACATGGAATTCATTTAGCTCTGAAAGACCTGCTGTATGTTGTATTTACTTTTTTTTTCATCTGTGGAACCTCTTTCTGTGATGGTTTTTCAAAATTTTTGCTTTGTGTTGTCTGCAGAGTGGTTTCTGGCTTAAGCTGTCTGTGAAGCTTCTTGGAGTGTTCTCCTTGCACTCCTTCAAGTGCTATTCAGGCTTTCTTCCTGGTGTTAACTAAGGGTCTAACTAGATTCTTATTTCCTTCTATTAAAAATTGGGAGCAAATTAAGCTACAGTAACTATCAGTAAGATGTACAGTGCGCTGGATGAGAAGTCAATATAGAACAAACTTAACACCCACCTTGTAAATAATATCAATGTCATATTTTTCACAGCAACTTACCCATGAGC